TTTATTTATTTATATCTTTTTATATATTTAAATATATAAATAAATATTTATAAATATGTGTATGTATAGGTCAAAAAATCTGATTTTTGAAATGTGAAAGTTGTTTTGTTATTTTTGAAATAGGGTAAAGATAAAGTAGGATAAATGAATTTTTCCAGACTAAAAATAACCCAAGCCCACACCTCCCTCCATTCAAAGTTGGCCAAAAGAGTGGCCGAAGAATGGGCTTCCACGCAGGATTTCAGGTACATAGTCCACATTATGTCTCTGGCCGAACCAAGGTTGATTTTCTTCAATTTTGGGTTTATTAGTTGAAATTGGTGTTTCTACTGAGCTTTTGTCTTAGTTTTTTTGGTGGGTTTGTTCTAAAATTAGTGGTATTGAAATGCATGAGACAATTTGAGTTGGGGAAGTAAAAGATGAGGAAGATGAGAGAAGAACTGGAGCTAAAAATGAGTTGGGATTTAGGGTTTGAGATTTTTGGGATTGCAAGAGTTAGCATTTTCAGTATTTATAATTGTGTTGCCAATTGTAGTTTTAGTTTGAATGGTTGAATGATAAGCAGAATGCTTACTATAAATATCTCTGGGAAAGACACCTGTTGCATAGGCACGGGGATTCCATCCAATTTAAGCTCTTATAAGATGTTTTGGAATTGGGTCACTTTGTACCCAGGTGTGCCCTTGAGTTACTTCGTTGAACTTTAGGATTGTAAGGATACTTAAATAAATGGTTTGCTCTAGTTAAGTCTCACAATAATGGACTGAATAATGTCATGATGTTCATTCTGCATTTCAAAGAGAAACTGAATGCATTTGCTTGCTGGCCCAAGATTTGAGGTGGTATTATTTCTTTCGTTTTTGCAAACTGTTTTTTTGTGGTTATTGTGTTAAGTCCAAGCTGGTTCATTTGGAGAACAATGTGGGATTATAGGGAGACAATTTAATAGAAAGATGCAAAAATCATTGACCAGACCAGTTTTAGGTTAGCGAAGCATGGGTTTTCGCAGTGCAGAAACTTATTCCCATCACAGTGTTTCAATTTAAAATTTGTTATTAAGTGTTGATTTGAGTGATTATGCCATGCAGATAAAGCAGCTTTTATATATATATATATATATATGCGCACACACTTACAATTATTGTCTACCTATCGGAATGCTACATTAATGTAGTTTTGTTCTGCAAAACTAATGTTGTAGGAAGATATTTAGCTTTTAAAAATTTTTATGGGTCATGAAGTAGATTAGCTCATTGAGATTACATAATGATGCTATTATTGGTAGTTTATGATGATGGATGTTGAACTTGACTTCTTAAATCTATGGAAGTGAAAATCAATACGATAGCCTCAAAAAGAATTCATGTGGAGTCATGTGGTTTATTTCCTTTTGGGTCATAGTGAGCAGGTCTTTTTTACTAATCTAATTAAACTCTGTTTATTTGTAAAAATTCAGGCACATGTTGAGATGAATGAAGTGTATGCTCAGCCCCTCAGCCCGACTCTGATATTCTCGAATTAGACTAAGATTGTGCGATGCTTTTTGCACCTTCTTCTAATTGTCTCGCAGTTCTGAGAGGTAAGGATTCATGGTCACTAGACATAAGTGCAGGGGGTCTAGTAAGCGCTCTTCTCGGTAAGTATTCTTTTTAAAAATGCACTCAATATCTGACCTGACATGTCACAGTTTCTATCTATCTTATGAGTTAGTTTTCTTTTTCTTTCTTCCCTTCTAAAAAGTTTTGTTGGGTTTGTGCTGGTAGAAATCTTCCATCATTAAACTATCTATGTTCTCTTCCTTGTTCAAAGTCAGGTGTCAGCCATAACCATTAGTCTTCATTCTGAATTTATTACTTAATTCATTTTTAAGTGAGCACTTAGCTGTAGTAAGTAATATGATATCAGTTAAAGTACAGAAAATTACAGCACTTCCTAAGACAAGGAAAAGTAGATTTGGTGGCTTCCTAAACATGATTGGCATGGCTGATTCTCCTGATACTGCAAACAGTTGCATGAACATCCGAGTTAGTGAGGGCAATGGTCAAGCGGCAAAGGCTATCTGCAGTAGCAACCTTTGTACTACCTGTAAGTAGGCTATGTTATTCTTGTGTTAGGATTGCTACTTCATATTATGTCATGCAATCTCATCCCTAAGACTAAGTTTCTGTACTTTGGTGACTGAACTAATTACACAACGTGTTTTTTTTTTTATGAAATTCTTAGTGTAGCTATTGATCATTACCAAAATTTATTTAATACTTTAAATAACACATATCACTTTAGTGTTATATTGAACTAAACGTGTCAATTTTATGATATGATAACAATATATATGACCAAGAAATCTTTACCACATTTTCAAATTTAGACTTAGGTTTTGGTTTGTCTATATTTCTCATTCTGTCAGAACTTGAAATTATTATTTTTGTTGTTATTTTTTTTTTTTAGTTTTTGGTCATAGGGTTGGAACTAAGATGTGGATCCCAGCAACAAGTTTGGAGGAAGGGTATCAGAGTTTACCTGGGTACAAAATGATGTGGATGCTTAACAAAAGGATGACACAGCAGTTGAAAGCATTGTTTAGGCGTTCCTATTTTGGCCACATTTTTGACATGGATTAGACCAATTTTCAATACCAATTGATACATAATATTAATTTCTTGTGGAAGTCTCGAACATGGATCGAATGTGTGGTTAAAACTATCAGGAAAGTAAGTGAGGTTTTTAATTCAGGAATTCTGCCTTGTGATTGATATGGGATGCTTTGGAAGGGATGAGACGTTCAAATTCCGACGGAGAATCTGCAAACTGAAGTAAAACTATTGACCACCTGAAAGGCATTTATCCAAGTGATATTTGTTGGATAAAAATAAACTAAATGGTGAATGATATGTAACAACAATTGTGATTTCAAATTCTTTATTTTTTCATTGAAAGGGAATAAATTATGAGACGTAACAACAATATTGATTTCAAATTTTCTAGTTAATTTTCAACTGAATTGGTGGTTACAAAGCCGTAATGGCTATTGTAGCATTTTTTTGGGTTAATGCAAAATTAATAGAAAATTGAAATCTCCCTTGTCCTAGTAGTGTATAAGGAGACTTTCTCCTCTTTAGTCCACAAACCAAAAAAATGAATCTTTTCTCCTCTCTCTAATTTCTCTCTTCTCTCTTTGTTTCAAGATCTTTGTTCTTAGCTGCTTAGATATTTTTTTCTAGATCGATGATAGAATTATGAGCATTCTCAATTCACCGAAAGAAGTAACGAGGTCAACTACTTTCAACGTTATATTCTGATAGACGGACGTCATAAGTCCACTTGCACTACGATGTGAATCTATTTTAATGAAATTGTGTGTAACACAAGCATCGTTTCCTTCCAATATCTACTACGTCAACAACAGCGTGACGTAATGCCTTGACGTGTGCCATGATATCGTGCCGTGGTGACGTGACGTGACGTCATGTCTTGGCATCAACATCAAATGCAATATAGACGACATCAACACGACAAACTAACAACCCAAAAGTGAACAAGTGTGCGAATGAGTAACGACAAAAGAACATGAAGTTTAAATAACATTGAAAAATTGTATCTAAGACAAGGCGGGATTGTACAATCCAATGAACTCAATCACAATTTCAACCAAAACCAACAAATTCAACACAACCACATGCCACCAACTAAGCCTAACCCAATCTCCATCAAATACGAAGCGTCAAACAACAAAACACCAAAAAGAATTCGATAACAAACATGACATACTTGCCAAAGCATGCAAAAATCAAGAACAATTCACCCAAATGATCCAATTTTGGATGAAACTTCATGTGATTCGTCCAAATATGAAGTACAATTGATGAAATTGAAACAAAACATAAAAAACCCCCCAAAAATGCGAAAATGGAAAATAAATGAGGGTTTCGGTTTTTACCTTGAAAATATGTGAAAATTGATGAAATGTGGGAAAATCAACCAAGTATTGGATGCTAAAAGTTCAATTCAAGATTGAATGCAAGAATTTGATATGGGTGTGAAGATTGGAGAAGAGAAATCGAGAAATAAGGGATGAAAATGTAGAAGAAAACTGAAAAAAGTTAAAATTCAAAAAGGCGAGCTGTCGCCCAAGCGAGACAGCCTTTGCTTTTATCGCTAGAGCGACACTCAGAGATAAGTTGGCAAAATTTTTTTGACACAAATAGCACTAAATTTTTGAAAATTTCGAAAACCACCCTTTTATTTTATTTATTTATTTTTTAATTGAACCTCCGACATACAGATGAACTCAAAGATGCATTTGTTCACAAGTATTGCATTATTAATAAAAAAAAATTCCACGTACCCAAATCAAGTTCAAATGGAGTAAAGTGTATAACTGACTCACATGTGATAAGTGCCACTATTTTCTTGTGAACATGACTCCAAACCTTAATTTTTTTATAAAGGATATGCGAACATCACCGTTAAATAAGTATTTTCCCTCACTAATGAAATTCAAACCATAAGATTATTAGGACCTTAAACAGACACTCATTTTCACGTATATTGATCTTATGTGCAGACTCTTCTTCGTTAAGCGACTAAGATGACCCCTGTAACGAGTGTTGGGCCGATCACTCCAAATCAGTTGACCATAGGGCATAAGATTATGAGAAACCCCTCGAACTTAATTACTCGAGTCAAATAGACGTCGAAAAAGAGTATAAGATGATATTCATTTTAGTTTATTTTTTAAGGGACAATACTAGAGCTTAGGTCAACTAAGATACAATCAATTCATATTCAAGGTCACCTTACCAATAGCTGACAGCCATCCCAAATCTCACACATAAGATTCAGATTCACTCATAAATTTAGAGTGTGTACTGTGTAGATGATACATGGAAATATCTATACTCAGTACTCCTCATTAAACCTTTCCATCATTACAGATCACATGAATGCACACTCGGTCACAAACGCAACATTTAAGAACATCATGAAATGTGTAGTAGCACAATTTTTTTAAAATCAATAGCCTTTGAAAAAAACAATTTTTTTAAAACTGGACTCAATGAACGGCACATGCATGCACTTAAGTACGTAATCGAAGATGTACATAGATGTTTTTACCTTTAACAACATGATCAATCTCACGACCTATCAGATCACTCTTCTTAACTCAAACCTTCTTAGAAGTAGAAGTAATCGTCATTAATCGAGTAATCATTTTAGTTAAGTAGCTAACCTGACTGGCGAGGAAGTTGACCTTGCTCATGATATCCTGACTTCTACTTCTAGTATCAAGTTTATGACACCTAGGTCTTGTATGTCTCGGAGTACCACAATTGAGACAGGTGGGAATAAACCTAGGTTCAAAACTACGCAACTTTTGTTGTTGATTTATAAGACGATTAGTCCTACATTGTCTAGTAGGCCTTGATCCTAAAACATTTTTGCCATTAGGTTCAGGATTAGCGGTATTCCTAACTTAGTTGGTGACTGGGACAAACGTGGTCTTGGATATGTACTAGTAATAGTATTAATTTTGAACGTATCCTAGACCGTGCTCATTTTCAGAAGGTTTGTTCACCCCTAACTGATTATCGAGTGTCTGATTACCACTCATGAAGGAATGAAGTTGCGTATTAGATATTTCTAGGTCATTTGTTAAGGATTCAACTTTAGCTTCTAAGTTCTCATTAACAAGTTTCAACTCACTCAAATTTTTGGTAAAGTCCTACAGGTTAGCTACAAGTATTTCTCTCTCTTTCAAGTCCAATAACCTTTTTTAGAATGGCTTTATTGACCTTCTTGATTTTAAAACTCTCCTCAAATAGCTGTCGATAAGACTCATAAATATCAGTCTCATTCTCTCATTTTCCACCTTTTCAATTTCTTTATCAGATTCAATCTTAGCTATAGACGTGAAGCTATAAAGTTTTGTTTATCCTCACCGTCACAGGTATCACTCTAAACACTCGAATCTAATTCATCATCAGTTAGAATCAAATGCTAATGCCTTACCGTTTCCTTTATTTAAATTCTTCTTAAAGTTAGGACATTCATTCCTATAGTAACCATAGCATCTAACTGACTAGGTTTTCTTACTGGAAGTCCTAGGATTATTCTTATCACTTTTATCTTTCGAAAATCTACTTAGGACATCATTTTTCTTTTCTTGAGATTTTCTCCTATTCCTCATCGCTTTCTGGAATTTCTTAATTAAATAAGCTATTTCGTCATTTCTAAGGATCTCAGCATCAGTAGACTCACTCTTTGCTTTTCTAATGGTGTTCATGGCTATGAATTTAACCTTTTTTGATTGAGATATGGCGAGTTCATAGATTTGAAGCGATCCTACAAGTTCTTCTATCTTGTTAGTATCTAAGTCCGTACTTTCTTCCATAACTGTTATCCTAGGTGTAAACCTCTTAGGTAAGCATCTCAAGACTTTTTGAACTATTCTGGACTCAACGATCTTCTCGCCTAGGTGGAAGCTAGAGTTTACTATGTCATTAAGCTTCACATAGAATTCATGAAACGATTCATCGTCCTTTATTCTAATTTCCAATCTAGAGTTCTTAACAGTTTTGGTTCCCTCCTGTATGGTCTCTAAAATATCCCAAACTTCTTTTGCAGTTTCAAACATCGACACTCTCCTTAACTCCTCTGCAGATACAACCATAAATCGGGCACGAAGCCCTTTACTAATCCAGTTGCATTCATCTAAGTTAGATCTTGTCCAATTAGCAATGACAGTGGGGATTACTTCATTATTAACCATAGAAATAGGTACAATCCAACCATTCACAACACTAAGCTAGATACGCTCATCTAAGGATTTGAGGAATGCCTTTATTCGAAGCTTTGAGTATTCATAGTTGCTTCCATCAAATAACAGAGACGCGAATAGTGACTGACTCATCTAGATTAATTTGTGGGTTCAGGAATTGAAATGTGCCTATGATAACAATTGAAATTACAAAGTTCGGCCCAAACTACTCCTTGACTTTTACATCATATTAAATCCAATCCTTTTTCTTCACGTACTTTCCAGTTACCTTTAAAACCCTAACAACAATCCATTTTACTACTAATATTAATATTGTCCCACCCTTTATTCCACACTCACCTAATCCTACTTCATGTCGTGAATCTATAGGTTCTCAATGATAGTTCTGTAGATTTTAGTATTTTGGTTCCCAATACACTTATTGTTCCATCACTTCCTACGGCTACCTAATCACCTTCTAAGGTTGCACCTATTTGTTACATTACATATACTTGTAAGTCCATTAAGTTACCAACTTTTGTTTACTATTGTTACTTTGGCGCTTTCTTTTCCTATCTAGCTTCTATTCATCATCTTTCTATAGAGGCAATTTGTGACCCTTTTTGGTAGGAGGCTATGGTTGACTCTACATAAAACTCGCACTTGGGACTTGATATATTTAATGCTACAAATAGAATCAATTGGTTCTCATTGGGTCTATAAAACCAAAGCCAAGTCAAATGGAAACTTTTACAGTTGTTGCAGTTCGAACTTTTATTGCAACTGCCTGTATTCATCGACGGAGTATACATAAGATGCTTGTTAAAAATGTCTTCTTAAATGGAGACATACATGAAGAAATCT